AAGCGGCCCGGTCCAATAGAAGCTGCCAATACTGGCTACAAACCGACCAATCTACAAAGCATCCCTGGCTACCTGGGCCCGCAAGCAGGGCCGGGCTTTTCCCCCCTGCCCAGGTGACCAGAGCATTGCCTCCCAGGCGCCAGGCTTTTGTCTGCAGACAAAGTGGGAGATCCCCGCCCTGAGGGATTCAACAGCAGCCTCTCAGGCTGGCAGGGACAGATCTCTGGAGAGGGGCACCGACGGTGGCATTTCTGCCACAGACTCGATCTATTGAGGTCCCTTCCGACCCTAACATCTACGAATCTATAACAGAAAAAAATGTCCATTTAAGCAGTCACTCAAGGGACCAATAATAATGCCTAATGCACATGATCTAATAAAAGGTGAAGCACAATGGTACTGCCACTTACTTATGGCAACACAGAGGTGGTATCCTAAGAGAATAGGATGCTTACTAAGTGTTTTATACTAGTTTCAATGTACATGTGCTTTTTTATTACAAAACAGTGTAATGAAAATGTCCAAGTCTCTTCCTTATGATCATTTTTCCCCTCTCACTCTCTCCTGCAAAATTAAGAGATAAAGATGTGTAGGACAAGTGTTCAAGAACTGAAACAATTTTTCATTGACAAAGATCATGAGAACAGAAACTGGCTAGACATGAGACTGTAGGCAAGTTAAAAGGCCTCCTTGGTCTTTGGTCAATCCCAGCACGTAACAGGGCAAAACTAAAAAAACTTAAGAGAAAAACATTTCCTCCTTTTTAGTTGTAACATGCAATTGTCCCCAGACTAGAGGGAGGGTGCTCTGTGCCAAAAGCTTGTCCAACATCTCTCCCAACTATACAGCTAATCCAATAAAAAGTATGATAAAACAAACCCTGCTTCTCTGAACCATCATGGCTACAACAACAACAGTTAACCCTACTGCAATTTGTTAGGCAGCTCAAATTTAAAACTGACTGATGTAAGATTAAATAAAGTTTTCTGGTGGTAAATTTTAAGCATGTTCCTACACAGTCTGACCCCTCTCCAGGATCTGAATAGGAGTTTCACCTTCAGCACATAATTTATAATTGCATTAACAGGTGTGCCTGCCCCCTAGCATACGACTTGCATGGTGCCTGGCCCCTAAGGCTATGCAGCAGTGTCACACGTAGCCCCACTGAAGATGGACAGTCCTGGTTTATACATTTGTATGTATATATGAACTGAACTACGAATTGATATGTCCAATCAGATTCAAAACCAAATGGCAGAAGTCAACGAATCATGGGATAAGGACTAACTTGGCCAGTAAGTGGTCGAGATGGAGTACAAAGCCATCAGGTTGCCAAAACAATCCATAATCCTTGGAAAAGTACCAACAGTTATACGAGTTAATTATTTCAGTATTGCCTGTCTGATGGCAAAATTCCCCTCATGGTCTTCTGTCAGATCAAATTAAATCTTGCATGGAATGGACAATGCTAGTATTTGGCATCTTTTTAAAAATACAGCAACTCCAAACGCAACTTGCATTTAGTAAAGCGATGCTTTCCTACACATGTGGAACTTAGTATTTAATCTATTCTAACTGATAGTAAGATTAACCCATATTTTATAAAGGTCTTATAGCCATTCTAGCTATTTGTAAAAATTGAGGTTTTCTAAAAAATAAAATTTGCTTTGAAAATACATTTTGGATGTGGGCAAGGTAAAATTTCCTCATACAGATTCAGAGGGTAAAAATAAATTAGTCATTTTCTTTATTCCACATCCCCCTGAAACCTTCAGGTGCTGATCTAACTAGTTTTATCCTGCTCTACCAAAGTCTTCCCTTCTCTTAACATTTAATGTTAGCATTGTACAGCAGGATTCTGTATTCAAATAGATGCCTTCAGTGGTGCAATGAGACCCACCAGTGTGATTCAGTAGTGTAACAAGAACTCTGTAACACATGGTACATGATTTACAAGATCATAACTGTTTTTGTTGGGCCCGACTGTAATGCAAGCCATGAGTCTGGAATGCATTCTTCCCTCCTCTCTCTACTGTTAGAAATGTACATGCCTGGAAGGCAGCTCCTTAATTTGGGTTTACGCTTCTGGCCAAGATGTCATTGGCAGGAGTAAAGAAGCACCAGCCATGGCAAATTTAGGCCGCATATGCTGAATCACTATGAAGTGCAAGGGAGTAATAACCATGGCTATCTATGGCTTTACTGCTAGTACATGTGGGCAAACATTTTCAGATCTGACATCTCTGTACCAGAAAGATATCAACAGCCTGAAAGAGGTTCAGAAAAAAAGGTGTGAAATCTGTGGTCTGGAAGGACTGATGAAGGAGGAAAAGAAAAATAGCAGCAGAACAATGCTTTGGACACCAGGAAACCTGTGGGAGTGGGAACCTTCTTAATTTGAGGAAAAAGGAGGAATGGAAAAATAAGTATTGATGCTGGGGCCAGAAGATGGCTACTGGCAATGGGGTAGATTGATTCATTTATCTCCAATCAACATGAAGCCTGACATCCTGCATCTTGGGTTAAAAAAAATACTTTAATTTAGTCAAGGACAAAGCTTCTTCCCAATGTCAGCTGGAGAGATATCCCACTGCAGAAATTCCAGGCTGAGTAAGCCTGTTGTCTACAAGTATTTACGTAGGAAGACTAGTCATTCTATCAACTAGACAACATGTTAATGTGCATTCAGTCTTACAACATACATCACAATTAGTTTTGCCAGATTCCCAGATGATCTAATACCACCAACTTTGGTGTACAACAGCCAGAGCTTGGCTCCAGGTGACCAGACTCTGGTTTTGAGCGGCTTGTGCTGCCCCTCTTTTTTGGTTCAGGTTTTTTTGACCCCTGGATATCCAGAGATCAAAAAACTCCTGCAGCACTACTCCCTTGCAGTGCAGAGAACAGGTGCAAGCGCAGTACGTGGTGCCACAAATGTGTCTGCAGTGCCAAATACTGCACAGCCATGCTCGTCTGGACACAGCCTATATGAACTACTTTGGTTACATTCAACTCCCTTTCCTCCTTTGTACAGCTTACAAGCATTTTGTCTCTTAATCCTGCCAAACAGCCAAGAACTCATGATCAAAATGAAAAGGTATTTATTCAGCTCTTCTATCTTGTATGTATGAAATACTTAGCAAATGCATGTACCAAATTATCACCACAACATTCTTTGATGCAAATATAATTCACACTAGTCCAATAGATTATGAAGTATATTATCAGAAATAGACATCTAAAAATTAACAAGATCCATCTTTATCCATAGGATTGCTAGCTTGATGTTACTTTCATTTTTTTTGCAAAACTAATGGATGCAACTTTCCATAATTAATAACCATAACAATGGAAGTAACTGTTAAAACGTACACAGCCTATCATAGTCAATTCAATATATACCTAAAAATCATCAGTACTTTCAGGTGCTCAGTTAAAACAGCTACTAATCTTTTGCAAGCACAAGCCCACATGATACAGACTTTTCTGTACTGGAAACACCCTGTCAGAACTGAACAAAAAAATAAAATAACAAGCAAGAGTGGAAATGTATTGAGGCAAAAACCTCCCCATAGGACACAAGCAATGGCAGCACCTGCAGAACAATTCTGGAGAGTAATGAAATTTGAGGTTTATGACGCTCTTAAATTTTCCTTCAGGATAGTTTATAAAAGATCCAAAACACAAACAAACAATTCCTCCCCAAAATGCCTCCCGTTCTGCTGCAACATGAAGCAAAAGCATCTCACCTCAAGTTTGTATGCCCTTTCCCTGCTGAGAGGTTCCAAAGGAAAGCTCAAGTTATTTGCTTCTGCCAGGAAACGTAAATCAAAATAATACTTGGCATAAACACTGGAAGGAACATTAATGTTGAACTGTAACAACTCGAGGAACTGGCGCTCCAGTTCATTCCTGTAAAGAAAATATAAATGTGAAAATACATTTTAGACTGTGTACCCCACCAACAACTAAATACAAGTTACTCCAAATTGCAACCGACTGAACCAAGTACATGCCTTCCTCCCCAAAGAGAATAAGACAAGTTGCAGGTTCTACTGCCAGACCTGCATCACCCAAAAGTGTGAAAAATCACATTCCCTAGCTGACAGGATGCAGTTTTGCTGGAAGAAAAGAACTATTGCCTGCATATCTTATTCTGTTGAGATGCAGGGTATCTATGCCAGTAGGAAAAACTCCTTCTACTAACATATGGTACATCTCCACTGGGGGGCGCTGCAGACATAACTATGCCTGCAGAGCCTGTGTGAGATAGACATGCCCTGAATGGTCATTAACATTCTCACGAGGACTAAAAATTCCTCTAACCCAGGACAAGCTCTTTAACTGCTTCAGCATTCACAATCACTTCTTTTAATACAGGGGAAGAGAGACTCTCCCAACCTTCTTCCTTGCCTTTCTATGTATGGTTTCACTGGACAATATATATCCAAAGCAAACCTCATGCTGGTTAGCACAAAACCAAACAAAAATTGTTTACTAACAAAACAACAGAAAATAACCCAGAAAATATTTATATTTATATTCTCACACAAAATATTTTTAAATACCAAGTTAACACAGTCTGACTACATATCCTGCCAATCCACACCAAAAAGCCTAGACAAACAGGCAAGTCAAAACGATCATTAGTTGGTGACTTCTTACTGAACGTAATTTGCAGCTATGCAAGTGAGACATGCCACCATACTGAAAAGTGGCAACTACAAAGTATGTTTAAATAAAATGAAAGTGTGATCCTTGGGCCCTGGCACACATTGCATTTATGGCATAATTAACAGCATGATTAACATGCTAACCATGCCATTAATGGCAACAGTGCTACACTTGCACCCATTTTAAGGCACCATAACATGGCAAACTGGCCATAAAAACATTCCACATGCACATGGAACATTTAGGCTGGTTTGTATGGCATATTAAACTGAATGCATGGTAGGTTTACACACCAGAACTGTCTGGAACTGATGCCCAACAATCAGCTGATTGTCAGAGTAAGCCCTGGACAGCCCCAGGTCTCCTATTAGCCTGCGGCTCTCAGGGCCAGTGCCAGCAACCAGCTGATCGTTGACACCAGTCATGGTGTAGGCCCGGATCTCCAAATGCACCCAGGGCTGTTCTGAGGGCTTTTAAGAAGGGGAGCCAAGGGGCTCTCCTCCCCTCCCGCTGAGAGTTCAAAACGGTGTATCCAAACTCCACCTCACCCAGCAGTCATGGCAGGCATGCCAGGCACAGGCAATTAACTAAGCTTGTATGCACAGTATACAGAATCTCAGGGTTGGAAGTTTTGTCTAGTTAAACCCCTTGCAAAGATTCCTAAATCATTCCCAAATGGACCTTTCCAGTGTCTTTTTGAAAACCTCTAATGGAAGAGGTTCAAAACTTTGCTTGGCAGCTTTTCCTTTCATTATATTAGGGAGCTCTTCCTAAGATTTGACCTAAATCTGCCTTGCTGAAGTTTAAACCTTTCGTCACATGCTCTGCCCTCTGTGGTAAGATAGAAAAGGTTTCTCTGACAGCCTTCCAAATATTTGAGAAGTGCTATCATATTTCCCCTTGCAACTCTTTTTCTCCAGATGAAAAATACCAAATTATTTCAGCCTTTTCTTACATGGTTTCCTTTCCAACCCCTTATCTTTTCCACTCACCTCTGGACCCTCTCCAGTTTGTCTCCATCTGTCTTATAATTAGCACCCAAATCTGGTCACAGTACTATAGCCGAGACCTAACCAGTGAAGATATTGAACAAAACCAGACTGACCCCTGGGGGGGTTCCACCAGTTTTCTATCCACCTTACAGTACATTCATCCAACTTGTACTTCCTTAACTTGCTGGCAAGGACATTGTGGGAGACTGGATCAAAAGCCTTGCTAAAGTCAAGGTTTATCATGTCCACTGCTCTCCCTGCATCCACAAAGCCAGTCATCTCATCAGAAGGCAAGTCAGGTTGATCAGGCATGCCTTGCTGTTGGTGAATCCATGTTCCTAATCCCCTTCTCTTCCAAGTGCTTGGAAATGGATTTCTTCAGGACCTGCTCCATGATTTTTCCAGGGACTGAGGTGAAGCTAATGGTCTGTAGTTCCCCAAATCCTCACCCTTCCTTTTCTTAAAGATGTGCACTATATTTGCCCTTTTCCAACCATCTGGGACCTTTCCCAATCACCACAAATTTTAAAAGATAATAGCCAGCAGCTCTGCAATCACACTGGCTAACTCCCTCAGCACTCTTGTGTGCATCACATCTAGCCCCATGGACTTGTACACATCCAGCTTTTCTAAACAGTCACTAACCTATTCCTTCACTACTGTTGGCTGCTCTCCTCCTCACCAAAACGTGCTCCCAGGTGCAGTAGTCTGGGAGCTGACCTTGCCTGTGAGGACAGGTGAAAAAGGTTGAGTACTTCAGCCTGCCATTTTGAGGTTATTTTCCCAAGCACAAGGCACGTCTATGGCATACCAATGCAGCAAAGTTTTAATTTGGTCTTTGGACTCAGGACAATAAGGCATCATTATCAATAGCTTACAATATCAATAGCATACAAATTTAGAATTTTTTTTGTAATATTCAAACAATAACAACTTGCAATATATAAAACTCATCCAAATTAGAAGGATCCCAACATACTCAGTTTAAAGTAAATCAGCAGAATCCTAGCATTCTACCTTTATTTTGTGGATAATTTTTAGACTAACCATAAGTTTTGCTAGCAGTAAGCTAATGGAAAGCTAAACTAGGGCAACATTAGTTAAAAAACTGCTTTGGGGTTGTAATCTGAGATTTATGAGATAGACATTTGTTCTCCTTTTCCTTATCCCACATAACATACTTAGACACACCAATCATCTGAAGTCTCATTAATGGTTATGCATGATTTACAGCAGTGTACTACACTGCTATAAACCTGCATTATTTACAGCAGTGTATTAAAAACAAACATCAAACAATTTCTTTACCAGTGATTTTGCTTGCTTTATTAAATCAATATTTTTGTTAATTTTACTTAAAAAAATTCCCATCGAGTTTTAAGTTCTTAGTAGTATTTGTTGAATCACTGATAAACCATCAATGAAAGAAAGGTTCTTTGTCATATTATTCATCATCTTATTTATCCTTTTTTTCCTTCCTCCTCCTCTCTGAAGAGTTTCAACCAAAAGTAAAAGAGCTATTCCAAATTAGCATATAATTGGGGCTGGGATGGTATGGGCACTGAGGCGCACGGTTGACAGCCCAGATGTCACAAGTTCGAGGCCATAGCAGAGCACTCATGGTGTGGTCTGTCAGATTCCAGCAAATTCTGCTAAATACCTTGTCACAAGGACACAAAGAAGGAAAGGAAGAAAGCGCATAATATATAATACAATATAGGGTGGAGGGTTTTTCTTAGTATATGGATTGTATCATTATCAAGAACATGCAATAAAGCAAACTTCAAGTATTAGAATTTAGCCTTGATAGTTGTCATGAATCAGTTTTCCCTTTCCTTGAATTATTTAATAGTGAGGGATGAGAAAGTTTGTTTTTTTTAAATTTCCATTTAGATGGAACTATTTAGAAACATCAGTAGTATCTACATCAGCACACACCAAGGTGAAGGGAAGATGAAGCACTGGAGAGATTACTCAGTTCTTCTCTCCTTCCAGCTCTAGACAAACAAATAAGCCAACAAATAAGTATCTGGTCTTGTGCTGAATGAGGAACACCTGTATCCTTCTCCATATCTGGGGTAGGCAAACTTTTCAGGCTAGGGCCCAGAATGACCCAACCCAGGTTGAAGGTGAACAGGTAGGTAGACACTGGGACACAGTTCATCTCCTTGGTGGCATAGGAAAAGCACCCACAGCCTGTGTTCATCCCACAGGGGTACAGGGATAAAACCCACAAGATGCTCCACACTGCCATATGCCATGAGCTAGATCTGGCCCATAGGGCATAGGCTGCCAGCCCCTGCTCTATACGACTAATGCAAAGGGCATACTACTGCTCACTGTTAAGTTTTTGGATCAAAATGTTAAAGGTATTTAGGCACTAAAGAAACAAATTTGGAGACTGTGGAAAAATCCCAAACTGCCTAGGGACCGTGGGTTCCATTACTGCTGATAACCTAACCAAGTTCTACTCAATTCTTTTTTAGTTATAAAACGAATTCTGTTGAATTCCTCTGAACATGCATTAATGAATAAGAAATGCAATCAAACAAATGTAACATCAGCTGAAGGACTCAATCCCGTTTAAAAGACCTTGGTAAATGCCTTTCCCTCTCTCCCTTCTTTCTTAGGAAAAAGCCAAGCCTTTAAAAGTGATCTCCTGAGGAAAAAGATGTTATGAACATCAATAAAACTTCTACATCTATTGCCTTAATGGAAAATCATTTCATATCAACCTTCAGCCTCATAGCTATATATAAACAGCTGTAGCCATCTTGCATAGGGGGAAATGGGGGTGCAATGCAGAAAACCCTGCATCTACTCTAGCACACTGGTTCTCAACCTTTTTTGGACCAGGACTCACTTGTAAACATTGATGGCCAGTCCTGACCCAATGCCCCTCACTCCTGACCCACTAGCCCCACCCCCAGGTTTCAGCCCCACAATATGTGGGGCAGGGGGTGGGTATGTGGGATGGGAGGGGTGTAGAGCATCAGGGGGCCCCAAGCAGCCCCTTGCAAGCTAGAACTCTGACAGCCTGCAAGGGAAAAGCCACGGTTCCCCACATTTTTCTCCTTTAAAGGAGAATCCATTTATAAAAGTTTGTTGATCCGTTTTTTAAGCTGTTCGCAACCTTTTCTTATATTCTTATGACCCACTTTTGGGCCGCAACCCGCAGGTTGAGAACCACTGCTCTAGCACACTCACAAAGGATGAATCAGCTATGCTGAGGCAGGTACACCTTAGATATCAGAGGAGGTGGCCAGCACTACTTGAAGCATTCAGGTGTCCAAAGGGGGCATGCCAGGTGGGTTGGGAATATGGCCAGGTTCTTCCACAAACCCATTCCTGGCTGAAGTGCATACCCAGTCTCTTCTGAAACCTGCCACTTTGTGCAGGCATGACTAACCTACTGGCATAGTTACTCCAGCCTCCAATGCTCCAGTACTATTCCTGAACACATATCCCAGACCACCTCCAATTGTAAAATGATACACACATGAACTCAGAGTAGAGATGTTGAACATATCTATAATTCCTACAAAATTGCTGAAAATATATACAATTTCTCTTTTGGCGATATAGATATATAGAAAAACTGTAGCCAAATGTCTACTGGGAAATTTAGTGTTTACCTTATTTTGTCTCAGACAAAATGCCACAGAATAGTATACACTTTATTTTTGAAAGAAAGAATTAAGAAAAAAGGATTTCTCCAGAGTTATGGCTATATAGAACAGGAACAGAGCCTAATCTTCAGCTGACTCACCTTCCCTCTTCTGCTTAACTTGGGTTACCATACGTGCAGGTTTTCCTGGACATGTCCACTTTTTGGGTCCTCCCATCTCCATTTGGGTGTTGTTTTTTTTAAGGTGTGTGTGTGTGTGTGTGTGTGTGTGTGTGTGTGTGTGTGTGTACTTATGCCCACGCGC